ACACATACACACACACACAGACATTGAATACGGGCTGTTTATGTGTGGCAGACAGCAGCTAGGGATGTGTGTGTTGGAGATATAAGAGGTATTCGGGCGTGGGCTGCTGGGGGCTGCTGGGACGTTTCACCCCATCTCTTCCTCACCGCCTCAGTTCCCAACGCCCACCTGCATTTTCTGGGGGCACAAACCGCATTCCTAACTCATGATAGTGGAACAAGTGGTGTACAGGTAGGAGTGGCTCTGTTCTTCTGATCGATGTGTGTGTGTGACGGGGTTAGACGAGCAGGGACAATGAGACACGGTCACCCCCCTCCCCCCCCCAACAGACTGAGCCAGCAGTCAGAAGTCAGATGATTCCAGGCAGAATGGTAAAACATGTGCCATAATAATGGATGTAAGACAGAGAGATAGCTTAAGACGAAAACTGAGTGACTATCCATGATTTCAACATATTTCACTGACAAACTGTCATCCATCCACATTTGAGCTGTAATTAGTTGTATGTAATCTTTGCAAATAATCTTCATTTGTTTTGGGGTTTTACCCAGATTTTATGCTTGTGTGCATCCAAACCCTATTGTGTTTCAGGCTGCAAAAGACACTGCTGACTACTCTGAGAAACAACTCAGAAAAATGCTTCCAGTAAAAGAAAGAGAAAATAATTGGTGAGAAAATGCAAATGAGATGCTAAAGCCAGTTAAAAATCAATAAGTGAGGAGAGTTTTTGTGCTACAAATGGTATTTTAAAGTCTGTTTTTCAGCCAAATTTTGTACTATTAATTATTTGATCTGATGTTGGACCATTTAACACTCATAAAATCTTGTTTTTCATTACAAATAGTGCTATTTACAAACCACAGCATGGTCATTTTTAATGTAAAAGGGATAAGGCTCTTTAAAGCACCTTTAATTAATGCATTTATCTTAACAGTGGATCAAATTAGTTCTTATATATAAAAAGGGTAGCTCAAAGTGACAAAGCCAAAGACAATTATCACTCCACTCCACAGCTCTATGGAGCATCTTTCAACTCAATGTTTTGGTTTTACTGTTGGCAACTTTACTGTTTTGGTTCAATCTCACAGCTTTCATTAGCATGTAGCTGTTTTCAGTGAAAAAAACAACTGTATACTTCAATTAGTGACTACCTGGTGAACATAATAGCAGTTAAAGAGCCAGATATTTTGCTCAGGAGTTGGTAGAGACCAAAACAGAGCTAAATGACAGTGAATCAAACATTGAATTTGTATTTGCCAGGTGACCAGACTCCAAATGAAAGCTAATGTTGCTCTGTGTCTGCTGGATGTTTAAATAAGCAACTGTTTGCTAATACTTCTGCTAAATCAATGTCAATGTTGTGTTTATAGGTTGTTGAACTGCCCCCATATGGCCAAAAAAAAAATCAATGAATGCAGATTTCATGTGCTGTTTGCACACTATTATAAGAGAGTCGGAGAGAAAGGTAGAATATATCTGTTACGAAAAACAAGATGGAGGAACCGACGCCCTGCCTCACCTCATGCTTGCCCTTCATCCTGCAGATCCTGATGTCATTCTTGTTTGACTCCCATGTTCTTTTCTGTAGGTTAAAACACACATGCACTGCTGGTTAACTACATTTGCATTACCCTGTAGTAGAAAATGACATTTTCCAGCCTAATGACAAGTAATACATCCATCTAAAGGTTGTAAATGCTATCGGTGTCTGTCCAGAAGGTGGTCACCTTGCTGTAGAACATCTCGTCTCCTGCAACAATGTCCAACTCCACACGGAAAAGGTCATCCCTGGAGAGAAAAAGAGGGAGAGAGTGGCAGTCAGCCAACACAGCACTATCCAAAGCTTAAGATAAGCAAACCATGAATACCAGTTCCACAGTAGAAGTACAGCATAGATATTATTGCAAACTCAGGACAGTGTAGGTCGATGCAGATTTTCTTTTGGATGAAATCCAGGCTACACATTTAATACAAAGTATAAAGAGTATGAATATTTCCACTATCTATTGAATCTGTGCAGTTTTAATACTAAATAATTCAGTGCATGCAGCTATGTAATGCATACATATTAGAGACATTTATTCGTTTTAAGTTGATCAAACCCTCAGAGATTAGGGAACAGCTTTACAATGTCTTCCATTTCTCCCAATATCTATGAGAAATTGTACCCGACTGCATAATGATGTCTCATATTTCCCCTTCGCCTTTTGCCTCCGCTCATTAAACTTGACTTGCTGCATTGAATTTGCTCCTAGGCCCCAAATTCAGCTTATCAGTCTTATTCAAAAGCCTGAAATTGAATTAATGGATGATTTAATCAAGTTAATCAAGTCATACTGATGCTTGCACACCCCCACATGCTGCCTAGATGTGGTCCAACACCATGCATGTATTCATAATATCCTAAACACAGCTTTCTCGCACTCGTAACCTGCTGATAATTCTGCAGTAACCTTGGATGTTCCTGTGAAAATGCCAGCTAAATGAGAGCTGGGATAGGCAGCTAAAAGCTGACGTTTGCATATTGATCAAGGCCTTGGTATCTGCTGGGATGGATCTGAAGCTTGAGCTTCATCTAAGCAATGGGCCAGACTCTGAATGGGCTAATCTGTAAATCTTCCATAACCGTGTTATTGCAGCAGTATTGATCCCATCTCTGATCCAGCTCTGCCTCCCATCTGTGATGCATGTTCTCTTGGTTTTCTCTGACAGAGGGAGGAGTCATCATGCGCGCATCCATGTACAAGCACCTGCTCCTGTGAGTATTCATACCAACTGAGTGTGTGCATCAATGTGTGTTTTGTATCTGTTTTTCTGAAAGAGAGAGCTGTGAGAGATGTGTGCATGATGAGAGCGCAGGTAGGCCATCAGGTTACTTCACTCCTGAATAATTCATCCTTACTTCCTGCTGGTGTGTTAGAAGATTCCCGCTCTTAACTCAACCTCGCAGAACAGGACAACGACTAAGTGGCGGAGAAGTGCGAAATCACCCAACACTTGCTCGGTACGTCCCTGTTTAACAGGTCAGAGTTTAAGCGTTCTCCAAACAGTGGAGTGGGCCAGAGTGTGAGGCGTAATCTCATCCAGGCTGCTTCAGCGTTGTCTCAGCATTAACATAATGAATATAGCACCAGGCCTCCTAGTCAGAGTGGCTGGCAGCCAGCACTGTTGCCTCTGATAGTGCAGAGGAGGGGGAATTATTTATGCTGCTGCTTCTCTTTCTCTCTCCATCTCTTCTCTTGCCTTCCAGGTTGTTTGAATGATGCAAAGCCTGTGGCCTATGTTTGTTTATATGTGCATTAGTGGATTTAATGTGCATTGTATGTAGAAGGTTAGGATTCAGAGTAAGGACTAAGATGTGAAGAGTGTAAAGATTTCATTATTCTTTATGTTGCAGGATGTGCACGCAGCCTTGAATAGCCTTGACTCGTTATATGGGGTCGTAACTTACAAAGGCGCCTCAGCTTACAAAATCTAGTCTTAAAACCTACAAATCAAAAGTCTCGTATTTCCTTCTATGTGAATGTGTGTGTATGTGTGTAGGATGAGCGTGTGCCTTTGCTGTTTTTCATAAACGCCTCCAACCTTTTTTCTGACCTGGCTAATACAAAGTCAACAAAGAATCAAGAGAAACTGTCAACATTTCCTACATTTCTGACTTGACCAGCTCATGAACTTTCTCCCTTTGGCCTGTCAAACAACAGCAGACTCAAGGTCACGACATCTTAAGCCGCCAAGTTTTCTTATATTTCTTTTTGGTTTTCCTACTCTTCTTCTTGCTAGCAGCCGTACTGTGGTTTAGTGTGAGCAGCGCTGAGCCTCTCTGAGCCTCCAAATAGAGTGTGCGGGAAAATCTGCTCCACTGGATGAAACTGGGATGGAAAGATTTGAGCTGACCACCTAGTTACCCTGACACTTGTGCTGACTGAGGCAGAGTTCTCTGTGGCATGTCTGTGTGTGAGTCTGCATGTAACTGGGTGCCTGCAAAGATGTGCCTGAGTAAGTAGCCGTGTCCCAGTTAGATATTACATATTATATTCTAAGAAGTGAATATGCAGTGCTCTCAAAACTCCTGAATTACCCACTATTCACTGAGGAAGCAATGTTTTGGTCAAAGACCTACTTCAGGGATTAAACTCACATTACTTAAAAACAACATCTTTATGTGAGCGTATGGCTGCAACAACCAATCAAAAAATGAGTTAAATTAAATGAGAATGAGACAAGAAATGTATCTCAAAAACAAAACGTACAGAATTAACTATGTCCTTTACTGACAATACAAATCAGGTAATATCTATCAATAAAATAAGTTTAAATTGGCATAAAACTAAATGGTGACCAAATTAAGTACACTCAGAATGCATTCTTAGGTTGTTTGTATTGTATGTATTTTCCATTTGATGGACACAATGCAGAAATTGTGAGGAGAGAGTTATCTGTGTATTTTGTTGTTTTCTCTGTTGTTGTCAAGGATTCGAGCTGAAACATTTCATTGACTAATTGGTTAGTAAATCAACAGAAAAATAACCTAGCTACTTTGTTCATTATAATTTAAAAAGAATAAAAAGGCTCACAGATTTTTTACATGTGAATATTTTCTGGTATCCTTCATCTTCTGTGGTTGTAGAAATATAGTTGTTAGTGTCTGTCTTTGTGTCTTATTAGCCATTATATATGTTCCCCTTTGGGTTTGGTCTGTTCAGATCTACTCAGTTCATGTTAAGTTGTTGCTTATGGGCTTAACCAATTGAACATAATTAGTAGATGAATTGCTAATAAAAAGACTCATTATATATTTATATTAATTATATCATTAGTTCAATTTCCAAAATTTAAAACAGTAGCTTTGCAAAGTTTGTATCATTGGCAAAGTGCAGTAACTTGCTGTTTACTGATTAGTCCAGAATACACAGTTCATAGTACTTTGTATATTGTGTGGGAACAGTGTCTGTGGTATGTGTCCATGTGGGTGTCTTCACCTGTGTGTCTCTGCCCACGTGTCCTCGTCTGCATGCTAAACTTTCTCTGTCAGCCGCTCTATAGCCAAAGAGCCTGGCAGCTTTACCTCTCAGGCCTCCCAGTCTTTGCCACAACTGAGTGTCCTCGCTGTGCGTCTGCCATGAGGCATTTGACCTGGTTGTGACCTCCTTGTGACCCCAAGTGACCTCTGAGGTAAGTGTCTGTGGGCTAATAAACTGAACCAACTCCAACCTGGCAGTCAGTCAACACACTTTCCCTTTCTAAAATGTAAACACACACAGACCTAGATGGCAATAACCTCTTATGCTTTATCACAATTGGAACATTTAATAAGGTGTTGGCTTCGTTCCTTCGGTCATCTTGTCAATAGGTAAACACTTGCCAATTGGTTTATATTTGTGAGGATTAGACCTTTGGATCTGACTGAGGGCTGAAGACCACAGGATCCACAGCTGCTCATCTTGACAGCAATGAAATGGGGCTTAACACAGCAAGGTGCTTTACTACACCTGCCACCAGCCAAATACACAGTTTACTTTCATTTAGCAAGGATGGGAAGAGGACAGGGAGAGGTAGCTGCTCTCAGCAGGTGCTTGGGGCAGGGATTTAGCAGTGCTTGCAGTTTGAGGTGCAGCTATGCTAATGGTGACAGGATTTGGGGATGAGTGAGGCGTCTTATCAGGCCATGCACTCTGTAGCAGCTTTTGGCAGTCATACCTGCCACCACACAGGTACTTATTTATACATTATACATCTTAAAGCTCTGCCTCCCTGCTGGGCTGTATGTGGTTCACACAAGCTTTTGCACATGGATCTGTTTCCTAGACTGATCATTTTCTGTCAGGAAGCTGCAAACAATATTAGCTACTTACGAGAAATATATAAATATACAACTGGAATGCTCTTTCTCATGATGCCATCAACCCTGGCGCCCCTCTCATCTTTCTGCCTGTCAGTCTTGCATTTCATTATCATCTGGTTGGCTGAGACATTCTAATTAGTTTACCTCTGCTATTCAGTGAGAACTTCTGCAGCTGTAAATTGAAATTAACGTTTCTGAACCTGCTTCATGGCTCTGGTTATATTTTAGAGCTGCAGACTGCAGTAGCTGTACAGTAGTTGCCTGTGGGCAGCTTTACTATCAGGCTGTGTGCATGTGCGTGCTTATAGACTGTCTCAGCGCAGACAGCATGTCTGGAAACATGTTACATAGCTTGATATATTTACTACCAACTCTCAGTAGTGAGGTTAGACCAGCTGGAGGCCAGGGACTGGGTCATTTCCTGGACCACAGTGGCGTCTCTTATTGGAAACCACTTCAATCTTTTTTCAGGCTGCCATTACAGCAAATAACCAGCACCATATGTGGAAACTGACTGTGTCTCATTTTTTTAACATGTTTCAAGCTAAATTATTTTTTGGACAACACTGGCAATAAATCTTGAGGTGTATGTTTTTTGTTAGCGCTCCCTGACCACCAGGGCTACTGTCTGTCTATCAGCACATTCTCCAGACTGACAGACATATGGGGACCTAGAAAACATTTGTTGGGCCAAATATCATCTTCAAATGAAGCTACTGACAGATTTGTTGCAAAAAAAACCCCTCATCTCTGCGGTCTCTGAAGTGATTGAACTGCAGCTAGCGCATTCATTTTACCAAGTAATCAAAATACATTAAAGAACTTGTGAATAGCTAGTAAGAAAGGTATGGCATTAACTTAACTGTGTAAGAAAAATTGACTTCCAAGTTTTAATGTTTCAATAATGTTTGTTAGGCACTAGCGTTTAAAGATTTTGCAGAGAAATCAATACACTGATAACAACTGCCTCAATCAGTGGATTTGTTCAAAGGGGGAAAGTAAAACTATTCAATAGAACACAAAACAGAGGACCCTAACGTAGCTTAGCTGTGTTGTACCATCCAGTTTTTATATAACCCTACTCTGCCATATAAACTGCTCCATTAAAGAGATAGTGTTTGTAGACAGTTATGAGACGGGAGTTGATATATGAGTTGAAATATATCTCTTGAATAAACTACATAAACTTGTCCTGTTAGCAACTAAGGGCCATCTTTATTTAGTCCTTCACAATTAATCAATTCAAAAATCAACACTTAACCTCTCTACAGCAGTACTGATGGTATGTTTTATTAGTAAATTTGGGTTTGAGGCTCAGATGCTGTAATTCCTAAAATAATGTCCAATGAAAAAGGCTAATGTTGCTTGGCAACAAACGTAGTGATAATAGACATTCCAACTGATATTAAAGCTGAAAATGTCTCAGAACTATATTTGTACTTGTATAAGTGTGTGATGCAAGCAATCAAAGCGATATCAAAGATCCCAGATTTCTCAAAGCTTTTTCTCACTGTAGACGAAGCCACAAATGAACTGCTACTGTAAGTCCATTAGTATGCCTGTGCGTGTGCTAATGCTTGTTGTACCTGGCTCCGATGTAGAGTGTCCGATTGACTTGGAGGATCCTCTGGATGTGTAGAGGCTCTTGTCTCAGCCATGTTCGGTGGGGTCGGCCCAGAAACACTGGGTGTCTTCTCACCACTGTCAGTGAACGAGAGACAGAAGCACACAGTGGCTGATCCCAAACTGACATCCATCTTTTTCACAAAAGTAGTCAACATAAAAATGGTTTTGTGTTTTGACAGTTCAGCGGTAGTAACAGGTGTAAGGTAAGTGAAAATTTGAGACCTGCATTTGAAAAAGGAGGATATCTGCTACATTAAGCATACAGAGACACAGAGCAGAGCACAAACTGAGGTACAAGAAACAAAGAAGGTCTAAACTATACCTCATGTCTCAGGTGACATTTTAAAAACATCAAAAAAGTAAAACAGTGTTTGTTTGAAGTAGAAATGTGAGAAATCAAATATAACATTGAAAAGCATTTTCAGTACGTTTTAATCACGTTGTCCTGCAAATGTAAAAAGACAAAGAGAGAAAACAGGAGAAGAGAGTAGCATAAATAACTATATAAAACCTGTATGGCTATCTGTCTTTGACCTTGACTGCAGAGTATTTTCAGCTGAAATCCTTCCATTTTCTCTCTGCTTTATCATCATTAATTCTTCACATCACACCCTATAGTCCATTAATTTTCTCCTCTTATTAACCTCTATGTTTTGTCTGCTTCTGCTTTATTTCTATCCTGTAATTTTGTCCTATTGTATCTACATCACTCCATCCCTGAACCCACTGTGAACCATTCTTTTCTGTCACTGTCCTTCCCTTTTTCTCTCCTTGTCCACCTCCACACTTGCCTATATTTGTCTTGCCTGTTCATCCAGATGAACCTGTATTTTCTACTATAACTTATACCTGCAGTAAACCACAGCTGCTGAGTCTAATGCAGCTTCTCCATTGTAGCCCTCAGTAGCCTGACAACCTCTACACTCTACTGTTTGGCACTGATACGTCAAGAAGGGTCTGGACTCAACTGGGAAACCATCAATCAATACTATTGAACTGCAATCAATCAAGGTCTGGTTTGAGCTGGAGACTGCCAAACTGATATGGAGACTCAAAGTCTGAGTGTGTAAGGAGCTGCGTCTCTTGAGGGTCTGAGTGCGTGTGTGGGAAAGTCATGAATTTAAGAGCCCCTACAGACACTCTGGTCTCATTCCTGAGTGCGACCCCACACCTCCTGATCTGGACCCTAGTCAACACCCTTCGTGTGAGAGCATGCCTGACCGCCACAGCCCACATCATGACCTTTGTCTCCTCCACGGCCTCTCCCTAATTCAACACCCTGCCTGTTAGGGCGTGACCCCCACACCTCACACATCACGACCTGGCAGAGAGGCACGGAGAGGAGTAGGCGGCTAGAGGGCGAGAAAGTCAGGAGGTCAATACCTTCAGTGGGGATGAAGTTGAGGGGCCCCGGTTCCTCAGGGAACGCCGAGCTGGCGGTTCGGAGCAGCCAACACAGCAGAAAGAAGGAGGGAGGGGCTATGGTCGTCATAGCAACACAACTGTGGAGTCTGTGGAAATAAGATAAAAAATACAAAAGGAGAAAAAGGAGTGAGTGGATGCTAACTGAGGCAGAGGAGCGGGGCACACATAAACATACACAGACAAACAATCACTCACTCAATCACGGACTAACTAACTAACTGGCTGGGTTGTTTTCCTGACTGAAGATCTATCTTTGTATTCCCATAGCATCTCTATCTCTTTGCACTGATGAGAGAGGAGATAAATTGCTGCTCGGAGCGAGGGATTAAGTCATCCACTGAGGGGAGAAGTGTCCAGTCAGCTCTGAATGCAGCCAGATCACTGTGGCACAACATGACCACATCAAACAGCACACCGCACTATGACACATAGAAAGAGGCAAAGGAGCAACATCTTGGGCAATATATGCGGTATAGATGAATGGAAAATCTGTATAGGCAAAGAGTGAGTGAAAGGCTCAATAATGCTCTACACGTCAAGCATTATCCAGGATATGAAAGACTGAGAGAGGTAGAAAAGTGGTGGTTTACTTAAATTAAATGCTTGCCAGCGACGCAAATCACCTCTCTGACGGCGGAGCTTAACTGTCAGTATTTTTCATCGGGCGGTACAGAGGCACATGCAGGTCTTGGATGTGATTCATGTGGAAATACAAATGATACCCAAATTAGGTTACCCTCCACGATCCATCTAGAAAATGCATCAAGCACTCTGCCTCGCAGGAGAAAACTTCAGCCACAGACCTTATGCCTTGCTGGCCACTACCTCTGCGTGTTGTTACGTCAATTTTTGCTGCTATAGTATTGTGCGTGGTGGAATTTAATGTGCATCCAAGAGGTGTTTTTATTCAGGTTATTAGTATCTTGAGCTCTTACTGATCTGTAATCATCTATCAATTTTTCTCTCTCCATACGAGCCTGGCATTAGAATTGTGTTTTCCTTGAAATTTCACAAACGCAGTAATCTACTAAACCCCATAACTTGACTTTCATTTTGTTGTCATCTTAATGCTGAATGCAACATCAAGTAATTTGTTTTGAAAATCAAGTGGAGAGGACTTCCATCCTCACTGTCACAAACACAACAAATTTCATGCAACATCTCAAATTTGAATACTCAAGGTTGGATTTCTTTATGCAAAACTCCTTAACATTTTACTGTGGTCGTAGATGCACAATGTGTAAAGCAATGCAAAAACAAACACTTAGCTGAACGTACACAAGTCAACGGAACTGCACTGCGGTTTTGAGAGCTTTACTGGCAAAGATTAAATTTTTTATATATATTTATAACAATAAAACATTAATTTTGACATGACATAAATCAAAACAACAGCAATTTTAAGTATAATAGAAGACTCTAAAAATATAAAATTTCATACACTTCAACCAAAAGTATGTGGACAGCCCAACATTACGTGAATATGTGATGGTTGAACATGTCATTCCAAAACCATGGCCTTGATATGCTGTTGCAATAGCCTCCACTCTTCTGGGAAGGCTTTCCACAAGATCTTGGAACCTGGCTGCAGGGATTTGCTCCCATTCAGCCACAAGAGCACAATTGAGTTTGGGCACCTCTGCTGGGTGCTCCATACCAAAGGTTTTAAAAGGGGTTGAAGAGGGGACTCTGTGCAGGCCAGCAAAGGTCTTCAATGCCAAACTGGCACAGCATCATTGTGCCACAAAGTTGGAAGCACACTATTACATAAAATATGATTTTATGTTGTAGCAACACTCTGTAACGTTTGCCAAACAGCAGCCACAATTAAGAGGAACCACTGACAGTATGTATAGTGGACAGAGCTTCCAGGTCTGTGAAGTAAAGCTAAAGCGGAAGTGTCTTAAACATGCATTCTATGTAATGGCCAGCAAGGGGCAGCTCCATTGGCTACAAGAAAAGTTAGGTAGTATTGAGTCTAATAGAGAAATGACCTGACTTATCACGTGATTTATTACCTCAGTAAATAGTTTTCTAAAGAGTTTATGGTCTCAATCACTAATTTCTTCTTCCATAAATTATGTTCATTTTGTAAATGATGGTCCAATATGAGTAAAACAGATGATAAAGCAGAGTATGCTTTAGGGCATGGCTACTTTGTGATTGACAAGTAATTCTCTGAGTGAGTCCGTCCAGCACACCGCAAGAAACTCAGATCAAACTGTTAAACTAGCAGACCTGATCAAATATGAATTAAGATTAGGGATAGGTAGGTTTACACTTGGGATTAACACATTATGGGATAATGATAAATGCTAAAACATAGGCAAGTATAAGTCAGGGAACTGACTGTAATGTCAGTAATACCAATATCTATCTGAAATTTGCTAACATTAGTCACCAAACTGGTCATATACCATGTTAGGCATCTCTTTATTTGTAAAAAAACAAAACAAAAAAAACAATGTGTGTTTTCTTCTAAAGTATTTCTTTAACATTTCCCTTGTAAGTAGAAGGAACCTTGCTCATAACATGACTAAAAGTATGTATACATACATTTGGCCATATAGTGTGAATTCATTAAAGTAACAAAGTAAAATATGGTAATAAAGTACAATACTTACTTAGGTTTATCTAAATCTACAAGTAAATTAAATACAAAATAAAGTTCAACAGAAAATAAAAACTTGAACTACAATGCAGCAACAGAAGTCTGTATACTGTACTCTATGTAATAATATGAAAACAGTTCATCTTTCTTTCATTTTCAGTTTTTCTCTCTCTCTCTTTCTCTCTCTCTGTCCCAATGGATACAAACAGCCATTGTGCAACCCATCTCTTTAATGGAGTAGCAGACATAACCTTATCAGGACACATAATCTTTATGGGACATTTCTCAAATTCCCTTCGCTGACTTCAGAATAAAAGTGGGAGGCATGCTAATTACTCAACACCCACAAGCAAAATTACAGGAGGTGAAGGGGAAAAAGTCACCAAGAGAAGAAAGGAGGTCATGGGGTAGAGAGAGAGAGAGAGAGAGCGAGAGAGAGAGATGGAGTGAGAGATAAGTGAGAAACATTAAGAGAGAGAGAGAAGATGAGAAGTCAGGAAGTCAGTATATCCAATCAGAGATTCTATTGTTTCTGCTATTAATAATGTATGAATAAATGTCAGGCGGTACGCATTCGATTAGTATAATTAGACACCCTGGGCTATACAATTTCATGGGACAGCAGAATAAGTAGATACACAAGTATAAAACCAAGTGTGTGTGTGTGTGTGTGTGTGGGCGTGCAAATGGTTCAAAGCCAAAGCATCACTGTAATTATGACAAATAGCTGCACCCGAGTCCATTCAGAGGCCTCACTGCATGGCACAAGCTGTGCAGTAGTATGCCATTATCATTGAACGGGGCACACTGCAAGTCACATATACATTTTGCCATTTGGAGGAGACACTAATTCAAAATATTCAACCCGAGGGTGCTATATCACTCCATGTTCGAAATTGAAATGGCAGTAGACGTCACTTAAGTCGTATTGAAGCCGGCACGCTGTGTGGGCTCCATGGATTTAAGAAATGTTAAAAACTACACTGTCAGTAGCAAATTATTGTGTCAGTTCTGTCACCGGGGGGACTATTGTTTCCAGTGTTGTGACAAACATATTCAGGGATTGAGTTTGATTTCAGGCACCATCCCAACCAGCTTTATTTGGATGCCAAGTTAATACAGATGGCAAGTTGACGACAGTGGAGGCAAAATGCAAATGATGGCTGGTCAAGGGAAACTTCAGTCTGAGCTTTAATACCCCATCCACTCCAAATTATTCCTTTACTATTAATGAAACAGGACTACTGAACTCACCACCGTGCTCCATCCGCTTCAATGGATTTACACAGACTGGTTAATTTGTCTGTTTCCAGAGCCCCAGATCAATTTGATTATGGGTGTTTAGGCAGGTAATTTCCTAAACAAAGTCATTAAGGGATCATTTAGCTGCCAAAAAGGTGCGTGTAGGGGGAGGAAGGTGTCAATTTCTGGACCCCATCAAGCCCACCTCAGAATGATTTCCACTGTGACCAACTCAGATAACTTAGATAACAAATCACCAAGCAATCAATGATGTCTAGTGTCTTTAGTAAGTAAGTAAAGCCCTAATGAGGACTGATACTGTTCTGATACAGAATTAAGTCTAAGACTAAACAACAGAGGCTTAGAAGAGAAGAGGAAAATGGTTTGATTGCGAAGAAGAGATGTGAGGAATGCCTGCAATGTGGATTTGGATGCTGGTTATGCCAAGATAGTGACCCTCTGCTGCAGGGGTTTGGATACTTTGCATGCAAATAGAACACCTCATCATCAAATGAAGGCGCTAATATGCTCTGAAACGCTTTTGTCAGTTATTACGGTTGCCATGGCTCTCGCTTTCTTCTACCCTCAGTCTCCCTACCTTTTCTCTTTCACCATCTTGTTACACCTTGGTTTCTTTCTTGCTCTCCCTTAGCCCCAGTCTTGTTGATGTGTACGCTCTCGGTATGTTTTCATTACACAGCCATGAGGTACTTGCACTAAAAATTGGATGGTTGAAAGAAAACCAAGATTATGCGTGTCCTAGATATAGGAAAAATGGTAATGAAATAGAGCAGCATTAATGAGGACACTGTGGTGGTTGGGGTATTTATGATTAAAATATTTAACAGAGGGGCTGTCAAGTATTATACAGAGGTATCAGTAGTGGTAGAACACAGTACTCAAGCAATAGTCTATATAATCCCTTTTCACAGTGGTCGCCCAGCTTCAAAAAGCCTGCAGAGAGGAAGAATTAATTCAAACATGGTCTATTTCCACTCAGATTCTTTTATCATCATTCTACAAGGCAAATTATATTTTTATTAATGTTTTCTATATAAGTTGCAAATATTGGACTGAAAGTTAGAGTTAAATTCACCAGATGCTCAAAAACAAATTGTCAAAAACAATGCTAATGTGACTACTGGATTTGTAAATAGACGACTGTTTGCTAACAAGCTTGTTGTGCCTCCCCTCAGGGGCCAATTTAATCAATTAATGCAGGTTTGAATTGTG